AGCTTATATATTAAAGTTTGTGTGTAAAAAAATCTAATAAATTATATGCGGTTTTGGATGGTGCCACTTTAAACACGAAGGAATTAAGCAGCATTTTCAACATATTTTACTTTTGATATAAAAAAGGTAAAAATGATGTTTCAGTCAAAATGAAATTAACCAATGTGTATGGAAATGACGTGTAGATAGTACGACAGTTCCAGAACTGGTTTGCTAAATTTTATTACGGGTATTCTAATGTCAAAACGCACCAGGTTCAAGAAAAACGGTTGAAGCTGATAAAGACACGAAAAAAAGCAAACAAGCAAATAACAATATGTGAGATCATATTGGGTTTAAATGTATCAAATTCAACACTTCATGATCACTTAAGAGGTCTGGAATTTTACTCAAAACTCAATGTATGGTTCTCAGAGAGATGTCTGCAATTCGCATCTGAAGGGCCATGAAAATGATCAGTTTTTGGAGCAAATTGTTACTAGGAATGTAAAATGGGTTGTAAAGAATATAATACACTTGATTGCTCATGCACAAAAAGGGAAGAACCTGCTCAAAAGAGTTGTATGTTTGAAGAGATTTTAAAAAAGTTGTTTATTTTTCAGCTTTCCAAGGATAACATAACGGTTAATTCAGATGCCTAATGTCATTAGCTGGATAAACTAGATGATGTACTTCAATGGAAAAGGTCCAGAATTAACCAACAAGACATAACAAAGACCTCATATAAGTTTGGTCAATTGTCAAAAGCTTTTACAGCTTGAATAGGACACAATGCCACATCTATCACATTCTCCAGATTTGGTATCAACGGACAATTTTTGTTCTGGTCACTAAAAAAAATTTTTAGGCGGTAAAATCTTTACCTCAAATGAGGAGGTTGAAAAGCACTTTGATCAGTTTTTTGCCAATATTGACAAAAAATGTATGATCCCAAAATTATACTACTATCAGAAATTTAGCAAAAGATATCCAATCAAAACGAACAGTACATAATTATTAAAGTATAAGTTTATTTATACAAAAATGACTTGCCAAAATATCTATAAAAAACAAAGTTGCTTTCCGAACAACCCAATATGTTTAATTAAATAGGTTAATATGCCAATACTCTTTTAATCTCGCACAATCAAAATACTTAGCAATTCATTTTCCTTACCGGTACAACAGAAGAAGTTTCTATAGCAGGATCTGGATGGTTGATTGATCATTGGAATTGCAATTGCTTGTGATTGAACTACATTTGAAGAATCTAATGCATTCACTACATCATTCATTTCTACATTCATACTTGAATTATCATGGTTGGGTTGTTGAGTACTTAATTGAGCTAATTTCTGTGTTAAGGCCATCGTTCCTCCTTCAGCTACAGTAATTATTGCCCAAATTGTATCTACAAATATAATAAATGTTGATTCCACCTTATAAACATACAACTAGAAGAATGAAAAACAAAAGTTACTTGGGACATCTGTTACTACTTACCTTAAAATATATATTTATATAAAATTCATATAATGAAATGATCTATTATCGACAAATTTTGAAAATAAAGAAAATTTCTCAGAACATTGTCTTTTAGTGACAAAAACATTCTAATTACAAGTAAAAGTTAAACAAATTAGTGAGCTTCCACTTCAACATTTAAAGGACATTTGGAGATTATAATGAAAATACAATCAATTCTCTAACACAATAAGCAACAAGTTAGAGTTTGAAACTAAAACTTAAAATAACATAAACATAAAATCATATTTGAATTGTTTACCACCAAAATAACTCCCACCACTAGTCATCATTCTCCATTTAGTCTGATGTACACCTGGTTCAGAAGGACTGACCATTTCAATTGTAATATGCCATACTTGACCAGGAACTAATGCAGGCATTGAATATCTAAAGCAAATTTATTATGTATTATTTTATTCAATTATAAGTTTATGCAGTAACCTCTTTAAAAACTCCATTTGTGTTGTGGTACCAATCATTTGTAGAACACAATCTCGCGGCCAAGCTTCATCACCATTGTTTTGAATTCTCCACGTTTTAATAAAACTGAAATAGAGAATTACAAAGTTTATTGCATTTGTTTAGTTAATTCAATAAAAAACAGTTGCATTAAATTTTAGAGATTATGAAAAAATCATGTATAAACAATAAAGCAAAGATTACACTGAACAATGTTGATTGAAAACAATTTTATATAAATTTTGTAATTGTGGGCATTGCTTAGAAATTTGATTCATATCATATGTTTATACTTAAGCAAAATGTGTAAAATTTTATTAAATAACATATAAGTAAGTAACATACTTAATTATTAAGATAAAATAAAATTTAAACCAATGCTATAGTAATATCTCAAACAATAACATTTGTATAATCTTAAGATTTAATCTCTAATTTTATGACATTTTACATATTACATAAGAAAAACTGCTATAGTAATATCTCAAACAATAACATTTGTATAATCTTAAGATTTAATCTCTAATTTTATGACATTTTACATATTACATAAGAAAAACAATTATATAACATCACAATGTAAATCAAACATAAATATTTAGAAATTATGATATCTATTTATGATTCTAACCTTCGTTGTTCTTCCTCATTTGCTATTTTTCTATGCAGGATAAGAATTCACTTAGTTGCAAAGTTTTTTTTTTCAATAAACTGATCTACATAAAAAAGTATATTCCTATATTATTTAGTAAGAATCAAGTAGGATATATAAAACTAATTTTCTGTAAAATATACCCAAAATAGGTTGTGACAAATCTATATAAAAACTTATTAAGTTGCCTCAGGATACAAAAGAATTCAAGATTTTCATGATGTCTATGACTTGATGAAAATGTATGTAAGGTTTTTACCAATTGTGTTTTTCTCAACATCTCAAAGTGTTCAACTATTATTACACAACTGCTATACACTATAATATTAATAAAAAATAATTTTTCTATATAGATTATACCTCGTATTAGGAGTGATACATTCGCCTTCGCCAACTGTTACATCAGCTAATAATATCATCGATGGTACCTTAGCAGGTGTTTCACAATCCAAATAAGAACCAATAGCTGCTTGCAAGTTCCTATATGAAAGTTAAGGTAACATGTATTTGACTTATAACCCATTACATTATATTCATATATATAAATAAACAACTAAAACAACATCGACCTACCAGTTGCTCATGTCTAGAAAAAATCTTGCTGTAGACTCATTTAAATTATTCCCCAAAATCTTTTGTAATTGGCTGACGAGCTCATCATGATCAGTAGTACCCAGACAGCTGAATTGTTGAAGAAGACTTTGTTCCAAATCATTTGCACTTTGCAGATTTTGATCCAACGGTCCATTGTCAAAATCCATGGTCGAATAAAATTGCCAGATAATTTTAAATAATAAATAAAAAAAAAAAAACTCATTCAATTACTAAACCTATTGTTATCAAACATATTTTTTTTGTTGCAATGTAATATTTTGACAACCATCTGTATGACGACAAGTTGACAAAACTGCAATAGTGTTGCCAGAGCTAACATAAACATAGAATTTTTAAAGTATTACCAGATGAAAACGGCAGAATGATATCCATAGATAAAAGAAGAGTAAAATCATAGATAAGGAAATGGATGAGTATAATAATATCATAGATAAAAGAAAAGAATAATAACTTTGATATTACGCTGCCTTTTCTACTTTTAAGCAACTCATGTTTGTTTTAATATGGTGGCCAATAACATAAATATTTTAATTATGACTACATACCTCACTGAATCTATCCAACGAAGCAATTTATTTATTTTATAACTTACTTTCGAATTTTAACAAAAATTCACTTTCTTATTCATGCGCTTTCTTCACTTATTACTCTAAGATTGGTGACACAGAATAGCAAAGTTAAAATTAAATTAAAATCTGAATTACTTTCGATATACAATTTTTTGTTAATTTTTTAAAGCAAATTTGTCAATACAAGTAGAAAGTTTTTTGAATCATTCAAATCAGATGTTTAGTTCTCCCAAAAAATGCCATTTTTGCACATTTAGCTCTGTAACTTCGAAATGGTTGGACCAGCCTTTGCCAAAAACTAAACACTTCTCCCAATCATTCCAAATTGAATGTTTTTTGGATGATTCAAATCGGATACTCTGTTCTCTCAAACCTCGATTTTTATTTTCTGCATTCTTTGCTCCCTATCTCCGTAACGGCGGAACCTGCCTTTGCCAAAAATTAATCAGCACATCTCCCTATCAATAGGAATCAAATGTTTTTTTGACCATTCAAATCGGTTGATCCGTGCGCGCGAAAACGTAAACGAAAAAATGCAGACACACAAAAACCACACACACACATCCATTTTTTTGAGATATGCCAAAATGTTCATAAACCTTCAAAACGTGAAGATATGCAAAAATTTTCATTTTCGATTTTCGACCCATTATGTGAAAACTAAATGTAAACTAGTGGTGTATGGCATCGTGCCTTAAGGGGTTAGGGGTACTTGGAGTTACGAAAAAATGAGAATTTTCAGTATTGTTTTTTGTTATTAGACTTTTTTTTCACAAAAATTTTAATACGGCATCATTATACAATGTTTTGACTTGAAAGTAACAAAAATTTCAGAAAAAAAAATTAATATTCCCAAAGTTATAGCTGTTTTTGATGACCATGTTCAAAAAAACGGTCCTGGCGGTGACCATCATAACTCCTTAGAGATTCCTAAATCAATCAAATAAAAAAAAAATAGTTTTATAAATAGATAATCCTGGGCCTGATCAAAGGTTTTCTTTTTTGCAAAAATTAACAAAATGGCAGCATCAGAAATAAAATTTCTAGATTTTTGGGTAAAAAATCAACAGTCAATTGGTCTTAAAAAATTTAATTTTAGAAAAATAAAAATCCTTCGATCAGGCCCGAGTTTATTTTGTATTCTAAAAGCTGTATAAATTTCATTAAAGTTTACTAAGCGGTTTTTTGAGTTACAGTGGTCACCGGTTCAAAAACATAGTTTTGAGAAAAACGCGTTTAAAGTTTCACATTGGATTTACGCACAAAATTCAAATTATTGAATTACTTAAACCGAGTCATCTATTTCTGGGTCATATCAATCATTGTGCAAGTTTCCAAAATTTTCATTTGCTGATGCCTACGAGCATTCTAGCCTCCTGAGTGTTCTCGTTGGCGCGCTGATCTGCCACTTTCACACGTGCAGCATCCCATTTAGCAGCATACCAATGGGAATATATCCACAATTAGGTACTAGGCATTCATAATCAATAATATGATTATGTATATGTATTCGGCAATTTCTACGATAGTAGAACTAGTATTCACGGTTTTTAGGCATGATTTTTTTACACTAGTTGGCTGAAGCTTTTAAGTTTTTTGATTATGGATTCAATCTTGAACTACACATCTTGAAGGTAATTATCATTGCTCAGATCGTCGTAAATCAGTTTAAAAGCTTTTAAAACATCAGGAGGTGAGGGAGAATAATCTTGAGTATAAGTATCGAGCTCTCCACTTGCGTCAACGCGCTGGTAATAGTCCAATAACTCGAAAAGTAAACATCGGATCAACTTGAAATTTTCAGAGAACATTTCAAGATATTACACTTAATGAAAATGCAAAAAACTAAAAAATCGATTTTTCAAAAATCCAAGTACCCCTAACCCCTTAAGGCAAATTGCTTTTTAAATACTAGAAAAAAAATAAATTAGTAAATTTAATCGACGAAAGGTCACATCGGCTCACATACACACATACAAGCAAACATACTTTTCTAAATTTGGTCTCAAACGATTAAGAATGTGTTATAATGCCATGACAACATAATACAAGCAAGTCGGATTTTTTCATAAAAACACTATTTTGAGAAGCTAAAAATTTAATTTTGATATTTTTCTATCAAAAAAAAAAAAATATATATATATTTGAAGGCGGCCAAATATACTTGCACGCGGGTACACTTTTGATAATTTGCATATATGTAATTTAAGAAAATAAGAGTTCCAAACATATTTCTTTCTATTTTTATATAAAAGTATCTATTATATAATATATATTATATATATTATAATATTATAATTTAACCCTTGTAGCTATAGACTGTATTAATCACTGATTTGTTGATATAATTTATGTATTTGTTGCAGTTCTTGTAAGAAAATTATTGATTATTTATTACATATGTTGTTAAGCGGACTTTAATTTTAGAAGCGAGAAAAATAAGTCTCATCAAACTCTCCGCTACCCCCTCTGCACAATGCCATGAAGATTGCTGCTTCTTGGCAATATAATAAAATGAAAATACGTCCGAATAATATAGCATCATATTCTGCTTTTCTAATATTTCTTTAATAATTCTATTAATAATATTGAAACGCCTCTTTGATTGTAGTCCGGAGTATTTTCTAATGTTCCTCTTGGATACGAACATCTCACAAAAAGCAATAAAATTTTTGATATTATTTATTATAAACGTATAAGTAGCATTTTATAACAGACATGATATAAAATATACAAATATTTATTCTAAACACTCTTTATCAGCATCATCTTTAGATAAATACATCGGTTTCATTAAGTTCTTGAATTTATCAAATTCGCACAATTCATCGCAGCCTCTGAGTTTTAAAATATTTTTATCCGAAATTGGTTGACTTGGATTATTACTATAGTGTAGCTAAAATTAAATAAATTTGTATGTAATTGACCATTTATACCATACGTTGGATTGTGTTAACCTATAGGATTCAAAAAACTTTTTGTCAACAACATTCACTAATATTTTGTTTATCAATTATTCATAGACCAATTAATGAATATAGATGCATTAACTTTAATTTTTGTTATTTTAATAAATAATTGAAAAAATCTATTAGAGTGCCTATTCGGATAATAAAGTACTTCCATGATTGAAAATATCATCTTCGATGTATTTTTTTCAAAATTTCTAACAAAATTCACCTTGTTTTGTATGTAGTTAATTCTTCCATGATTATAGTTAGTATATAGTTAATTATTCCATGAGTATATTATAACGCTATACATTTTTGATATAGAAAATTTAAGAAAAATATTTGTTCACGCGTGAGCAGCATAATTAATATTCAATCGCGATTAGTTATAATATAACAGTTAATGAGTCAATTTGGATCCATTATTTTTAAATAAATATCGTTTAAAATAAATATTGATTAGTTAATTTTAGCATTAGTATGTAAATATCCGTGAAGAATCTTGCGATAAACATTGATGAACTGGATTTAATTAATATATTTTCATTAATTATCACAATTAATATATGATGAAATATGACTTAATTCCCATCAATCTATAATGAATGACTTACCCTGATATGATATGTCTGCTCTTCGACTTTCTGGTAAACTTCTGTAATAAACATTGAACCAGCTTCTGGATGCGGAAGTAAATTTTCACTGTGATATCCTTCATCGCCGCCCATTGCAGACATAATAGATTTCAGAAATGGTGGTGTTGTTCCAAATAATACCATCTTTTTACCATCGGGAGTTTCGCCCTTCGTTCTCAAGTGATCAACATCGTCCAGTAAATGAGATACGTACCTACCTGTTAATAAGAAATGAAAGAAATTATATTAATATATTATATATTATTATAATTATATATGCCCAAAAATATATGCACATTAGTGATTTGTCCATTGATTTCCTATTTCAATCAGACATAGATATTTCTGCTTATTGCATTTCTAATTTTTAAAGACTTGTAGATTATTACCTGCCGAAAGCCTTTTCAAAGATGTAATTGAGAATGCAGTTTCATAAACTTTTCTTGACATAGTTTTAATAACTTCTCCTTCACCTTTGCATGTTGGTAGCGCACCATTTTGGTCATTATACTTAAAAATATGCATTAATATTAATTATTTTATTAAAATTTATAATATTATTATAAACATGCATGCATATATATTTAAATACTTATATTAATAGTTATGTATGCAATGTGATTATTTTAGTATAAATTATTTCTAGACTATGTTCTGTAGATAATATGCCACCATATCAACAACTTTATTATAACCATGGATGAAATTATTTAAACTAGGTGTACTTGGCATATTGCATTGAGGCAAGTTTCAAAAACTTCTATGATTTTCATAATTAAACCACTTTTTGTAGTCCTATAATATTTAAGGATATTTGTTTAGGGTTTAATCAAAATCTTCAAGATTTTTTTTTCAACATTTATGGGCCGATTCTGCCGCATAACAAATCAATGTTATGGCAAGGCCATGTTACGTTACAACTTTTATAGATAATGCTACTGAATCATACTGAATACTGTCAAAATGTGATGTATTTGCTATTCATTCAGGCGTTTTACACATAAACTGCAACATCACTCGTATGTTATGAAGCTGTGTCAGAAAGACCCTGCTATCTAAGATCGTTTTTTTGACATTTGT